ACCCGGTTCACGTCCGAGGAGGCCCAGGACAAGTTTCATGCGAAAGCCACAAAAAGCTTTGTCCCGGAGATTGGTATTGACAGGGCCGCCCTCCGTGCCGAAAAACCGAACATGTACGAGGAAATCCGCCGGAGGGGGATGGAGTACTTGTTTGATGAACCTGAAACGACAAACCCAATGATAGTCCGGGAGTTCTACGCGAACTGCCCAGAACATATGTGCCGTTCTGTGGTGGTGCGGGGCAAAGAAGTAGATGCCTCAGTACAGAAAATTCGCCAGGTCCTGCAGCTGCCTCCGTTCACTGGTGACAATGATTATTACCACAATTCTCCAGGGGTCGATTGGGACACTCTGATTGAGTCCATATGCTCAGGGGGATGGCCAGTTTGGATACAGGAGTACATGACCGTTCATTCCAAGTCATTCACATGGGAGGCTAAGTGCTGGTTCACCATTATTTGCAGCAGGTTATTGCCCACGGGCAACACGTCAGATGTGAACAGCTTACGGGCTCTATTGGTTTGGTGCTTCGTAACCAGGAAGGACGTTGATGTTGCTAAAATCATTGGAGATGAAATGATCCTCCAGTCACCTCTGATGACTAAGGGGTTTTACTTCCCCTCACTTGTGACGAGGTTATGTCTGCTGGCTAATGTCCCCGCCAGTTCTACGGATGGAACTTTGCCCACAAGAACAACATTCAGAGCTTCGAAGATCAAAGTGGGCAGAGATGCACCCACTCCCATTGAGCTTGACGACGATGATGACGTCCCAGCACCCATGGTACCACCCAGGAGATCTTATGATGCTGCCGGATCCTCTCGGCAACCCCAAACTGGGGGGGAGTTCTCTAGATCATACTCCAGCCGACCCAGGTTGCCTGCTTTGGAGGAAGAGGTGGCAGAACTTCTCACCTTGGTGGATGGCCTGCATGTACGTTTGGATGCCATGTCTAGACGGCAAGCCAGGTCTGATAGCCGGATGATGGCTTGGTTCCGCGCTATAGGGAGGGCCTGTAAATTGGACCCCAACACCGTCTCTGACTCCGACTGATGACCAGGGAATTTCTCTTACCCTTCTGCGCTTTAATTATTTTACAACATGAGGACATGCCATACTCTTTGTGTGTGGGGTGGGAGACTTGAGTTAGTGTATGTATGGTTAGTGTATATATGTATTGTTGTGTATGTAGCTTAGACGTCACCGACTTGGCCCAATGACGGACACTTGTCGACGGGTTTCTTGAGGGTTAAGGTCGGATAAAAAAAAGGTAGGAGACTCTTCCTGATTACGGACCACTTAAATAATATTCTTGAGGGAAGTAGTCTAATAAAAAAAAGCCAAAAAGATTTTTTTATTTTATTTTCTTTTTAGATAGTGTAGTAATTCCCCCTTGGTTTTTTTTTTTGACCACGGTTCTTTTCCAAGGATTTTTCTTGAACCGGGTTAGGTAGATTTTTCTTTAATAGAGTTTAGGACCCTTAGGACTCTTTTGGGCTAAGATGGTTGAGGGCAAGAATGCATCCCGTGGTGTACATACCTGCAAATACTTAAAACGAACTTGAGGGTGCGACGTCTAGGCTCACATGTAGACTTTTAATCTTATGCCTTAATTTTGCACACTTTGTATTACTTGAACGCTCATGTGAATGTGTTGACAAACTAATTCGGAATGAGTTACATGCCAAGTGTGCGTGAGGTAATACACGTATTCTATGCTTGCATGCGATACCTAGAATTTGCCCCGTGTGTGTGCAAAGCGAAATAGAAGTTGTTTGGTCTTAGAGATGATTTAGGCATTCCTTTGTGTAGCCTATATAATCATGAATCCACCTGTACATATTACCATAGTTAACCTCTTTGAGCCTATAATCCTTTTTCTTTGGCAACCACATTACAAGCCTTACCCATTTGTTTGAATTAACCATCTATTTGAACCTTTTTACCTCTCATGAGCACTGGAATTGTTATGAACTTGGTAAAAGTTAAAGTGTGGGGTGGTTGGTTTGGCTTTTGAGTGGAACTAATTGAATAAGGAGAAAGGTGCACTGTTTTGAAAAAGGAAGAGCCACTTGAATTGAATTAAAAAAAAAACTCATAGATAAGTGGTGGCTCTTGATGCAAGTGTGCTTAAAGAAGAATGGGATAGTTACATTGATGGAAGGTGGAATTTTGGGGTGACATAAAGATGAGGTTTAATTGAGAAAATGTATGTATTAAAGTGCTTAGGGAGGTGTAGTCACTCTTATATCTAAATGCATCATACCCGTCCCGTAGCCTACATTACAACCAAATAAAGCCCTATTGATCTTAGACTGAACAACTCGATTAGTAGAGTATTACACTAAGGGCAAGCTTATGGTGTATCTGTGTGGCATATGAATGTTCTTTGCTGAGAGTGAGTGAATTCGTTCTATTTACAGTTCCTTGTTGTTTGATTTCATGTGTGTGGAACTTCTCTCAAAAATGTGATGTGAGGGCATTTAACTCAAGAAGAAAAAGCAAGTCTTCACTTCTGTTTAGAGTGCATAGAGTAAGCATGAGTGTGGCATGGCATTAGAGTCTTCATCTGGGGTGTGGCTGTTGCACTGCTTAGGTTGTTCTTTCATAATAGCAGGTGTGACATAAAAAGGGTAATGCATCAACGAATAGGCCTAGAAGTGTGGTTCAACTTGCTCGAGGACGAGCAAAGATTTAAATGTGGGGTGTTGATAATAGGTGAATTAGACTATAATTAGACCCTAAAGAACCACATTTTTGTACAGCTTTATGGTAAAAAGTGATAACCAAATGCTCTGATTAGTGCTTTTCATGCTTTGCAGGCTATATCCAATGAAAGAAGTCGATGGAGCACGTTTGGGATCAATTACGGAGAAAAGGAGGCCAATCATACAATACCCACTAATTGCACCAAGTGAAGGGACAAAACCAGAGCTGAACTTGGCCTGCCGCGGTCAGACTGTAACCGCGGTAGGACCGCGGCAGAACATTATTAAAGATTCAGAGGACCTCTTTGGCCGCGGTCCTGGCGTAACCGCGGTGGGACCGCGGCAGAACGCGGAAAAGCCAGAGACTAAAGTGTCAAGTCGAGAAAACTTGGTGTAAAATCCTTATAAGAAGTAGGAATTCGGCCACATTAGGGCAGACTTATTTTGGAGAATACTTTTGCAAGATACACAAGTGTGAGAGATCACCCAAAAACATCATAGTTCTTTATCTCTTCTTTTTCTTGCAATTTTCCATGATGAATCTTTTTGTAGTTTATCTTTACTTGTTATGAGTAGCTAAATACTTTAGTCTAAGGTTTTGATGGAACATATTGAAGGATGAACTTCTTGATTATGTTAATATAGTTTGTCAGTTAATCTCTATTTGTTCAACTACGTGTTTATTGTAGTTAATTGACAGGATCCTCAATTAGCAGTGCCTATTTAGTGTGCATAACTCAGAAGAGAGTGCATATTTAGGTAATTGTTGGACAACACCACTCCCAAAGTATAAGAGAGATCTATAACTGCGGGTTTAAAGGCGGGATTAGGGATAACGAAGCCTTGGGTGCAATCTAAAGTGAGCTGTAATAAACAAAAGTCAGCTAGCGTATCTCGGGAGAGTGCGTCTAGTAAATTATCGCGATTACTCGGGAGAGATTTACGGTAAAAAGAGTGCTCATGATTGATAGAGATGTTTTGGTGAATCTATATGAAACATAACCGGAAGGGATTCCATCAATAGGGGAATCACTACCTTAGAACGTTCTCATTATTGTTTACAACCCAAGCATATTTAGTTTACAGCTGTTTATTTACTTTCAGTCTTAGTTATTAGAGATACCATCAACTATTGTTTACAACGTTTGGGAAAGTTGATTATAAAGAATTTAGTAAGTCCAACAAAAGTAATTGATAGGTTAATTCTCTGTGGATTCGACTCTGGGCATAAATACTCAGGTTATATTTGCAACGTCCGCGTGTCCTTTTATAAGGCATAGTTGGGCGTGATCAATCCACATCTCAGGATCAGGCGCATTGAGCTATCCATGTGGATGAGAGCCCTCACAGCCCAGGCACAACGACGCAATTATCAGGGGCGCGCTCTGCCACTTATCTCCGTAGTATAGACCACGTAATATTTTCTAACTTAGGCCACTAGCTCCACTAACTCTATATAATACCATGATTTTTCTAATTGTTGTATTCAGCCTTGTTATGATCTGCAAATTACTATTTTATTCAATGTTTTACTAAAAGTTAATAAAATGAAACACCAAATATTATTTGAATTGAGAAAGTAAACAGTTGTTCAAGTTACAACCTATATACAGTAGTTTTACAACCAATCTCTCGCCAGTACTTGAGCTCGAATTTTTTTTTTTATACTGACAGTATTGGGCAGTTTGCGCGCACCTCGACTAATTAATTCTACGGGATACCAGCTACCCACACCTTGCCTTCACTACTGATCAATCTCTTCTTCAACTTTCCTCATAGATCTTCAGCAGGTAACGTCATTTATCCTGTCTGGAAGTTGAATGCCTTAATAGCAAAAGCAAATGTGAAGGCAAAAACAACAGCACATCCAACAGTCACAACTCACAACTGCAACTGTAGAAAAAAATCATGCATGAACCCGAAGTAACGTCTCAAGAATTGTTCCACTGTTTGATCATCAACAAGTTTATTTTGGATATCTCCAAATTGTGATGAATTTATTGTGAAAAAAGGGCAAAGTTGCTCAGGTTTCAGTAAATAAATAAGATATGGCAAGAAGATGGCATGGTAAAAGATTCAAGACAACTCAGTCAGACATCTCTGTAACCAGTGGCGGAGGCAGGATTTTTGCTAAAAGTTAAAAAAAATTGTAGCTACTGAGAATTGAACCAATAACTTTACAAAAGTTTTGAACCCCCTTGAGCACTAAGCTATGCTTTTTTGGATGTGTCAAGGGGATTCAAAACATAATATATAGAGGTAAAAAACAGATTTTGCCTTATACATACAGTGTAATTTTTCACCAATTCCTTATAACAGCCAAAACAAGCTGGAACAAATTAGGCTGTCATAGAGAGATTTGACCGTACAAATGGAACAAAGTTGCCACTATATTTTCATTCAACACATACAACTTATTAGCTCTACACAAAAACTTGGGATTCAAGAATGAAAAAAAGTTACAGAACATATACTTCATGTTTTGGCCTATATATACTAGCTAGTAGTTTAATAATCAGCTCTTCTCCAATCTTGCTCTTCAGTAGGTAAACTCTTCTATCTTTTCTGGAAATTGAATGCCTTAATACCAAAAGCAAATGTGAAGGCAAAAACAACAGCATATGCAACAGTCATAGCTGCCACTACTCCAAGAAAATCATGCTTGAACCCGAAGTAACTTCTCAAGAATTGTTCCACTGTTTGATCATCGCTAAGTTTATTTTGGAGGTCCCCGTATTGTGATACAACCAAACCATACAAAGTCCAGGCAACAGGATTAGCCCAATAGTACCATCTCCACCATATGGGCATACACTGTTTTTTAATGAAGAAAAACAACGGAAGCATTTCATTTTCAAAGCTCTAAATCAAAATTTCCAGCGTTCTTGAGAGCAAAAATGAAGGTTTTTCAAGAACTTACAGGTCGTGGAACGATGAATCCTGAGAAAAGATTCCATATGACATGGAATAAAAAGCCGGCGATTTGACCAACATTTTGATTTGGGGTAACAGCAATGGTCATCATACCATAGAAGGTGTAGTACAATAGGGTGAAATACATGAAGAACAAGTACCAAAAGAACTTGGCCGGTGTCCATTCAAATGCAACCATAGCGTACACAATGACACTATAGGAAACAGCTTGCACAAAGACATAAGGGATTTCAATGAAAACCTACAAGATAGAAAAACTTTTATAGGTAATGTAGACCTCTTTTAACATGAAATTGGTTTATAAGAAGTTGAACTATACGCTAACCTGTCCAAAGGCATAGGGTATGGCAGAATACATCCCAGCAGCTCTTTCCCTGTAAAATACTGTACGCTCAACCGCTACAATAGGCTGCACTGATGATGAATTTAGTACACCAAGGAAGAGAACAGCAGCATACATGGATCCCATAGCGTTAAATAGATCTTGGCTCTTACTCCTGTAACCAGAAAATATGAGTAGACTTTTAGCGTTAAGAACTAAAAGTATTTTCCAGATTATATACTTGTTTTATGGTAAGGGGAGCCTTGGCGTAACTGGTAAAGTTGCTGCCATGTGACCAGGAGGTCACGAGTTCAAGTCGTGGAAACAACCTCTTGCAGAAATGCAGGGTAAGGCTACGTACAATACACCCTTGTGGTCCGGCCCTTCCCGGACCCCGTACACAGCGGGAGCTTAGTGCACTGGGCTGCCCTTTTTTATATACTTGTTTTATGGTATATGTTTGGACTTACACTTTAGTACCAAGATCCCAGAACATTGACCCGAAGACCAGGGCAATGAAGGTTGTGAAAAGAAATCTGACTGCAGTATAAGCAGGATTACGCCAGTATGACCAGTGTTGCTTCCAAAGGCAGGCCATACATTGGGTCCAGAATGGCTGTGAGTATTGACTATCAAAATGCAGGTCTTTGGAACCAGGGCGAGGCATACTTAGTTCGCTTATCAGCGCTTTGTTCCTTCTGTAAAGGTCCGATGTCTTGTATAAATCAGCAAATTCAACCCCTAATATCATTTCCTGAGCCAATGCTGTGACTTCTAACATCCAAGTTGCTGGATTATAGCCATCTTTTATTTTACTTACCCCAGGCATTGACTGAATACAAGAAACTTGGTTTAGTATTTGATTATATAAAGCTCAAAAAGGGGAAGCTCTCGTTCACTTAGAAAACTTACCTCAAAGTATTTGATCAAATGGCAAGAATGGCGACCCAACGGACCAACATATATCTCTTGTCCTCCTCGTTTCATTAGGAATAGCTGCAAAGTGGTGTTTATATTAGAATTCAATGTCAAAACAGAAAGAAAGACATTTATTAGCTTGATCGAGTTCAAAGGGTATTAAATTCACCTCATCAAAGGCTTCAAAAATGTCGATACTAGGTTGATGGATGGTACAAACAACGGTTCTTCCTGTGTCAACAGTGTTCCTAACAGTTCTCATAACAATTGCAGCGGCCCTTGCATCTAGCCCCGAAGTTGGTTCATCCATGAAAATGATAGAGGGGTTTGCCACTAGTTCCACTGCAATGGTCAACCTTTTCCGTTGCTCAGTTGAGAGACCATCGACTCCTGGCAAACCAACTAAGGCTAATCTTAATGGTGTAAGCTCCACAAGTTCCATAACTTCCTCAACAAACATCTGTACAACGATAATAAGAAGGAAATATCGTATGACTGCTACCTTCTTTATTGTATTTAACTGATCTTTGGCCGAGATTCATATTATGGAACAAAATTTTCAGAAGAACCAACCTTTCTTGTCTTTTCGTCAACATCATGAGGTAAACGCAGCCAAGCTGAGTATATTAACGACTCATAAACTGTAACATAAGGAGAATGGATGTCATTCTGCTCACAGTATCCAGATATACGAGCAAAAGTTTCTTGCTTCTTGGGATAGCCAGAAATCTTGATGCTACCCTCAATATATCCTCCTGTTTTTCTTCCCGCTAATACATCCATCAACGTCGTTTTCCCGGCCCCACTAACTCCCATCAAAGCTGTCAAAACACCGGGCCTAAAAGCTCCACTTACACCCTTCAGAAGTACCAGTCTATCTTCAGTGGCGCCCTGATCTTTCATTTCCTGCGCATATCATTGGAAGTTTAGTAACATATTCGTTGAGATCGGGGATTAGCATCACCGGTTGCTGATTAATAATAATTCTTGGCTAGTTACCTGAGGCATGTCAACAGAGTATATAACTTCATCAAAGGCGATGGAATGCGGCTCAAATGGAAGAACCATTCCCTTTTTCTTTTTCTGACCCTCACTACTGGAACCCTCTTTCTCATTGGCATCTTCATTGTCTTCTGGTAGCATAGCTTGTGGCTTACCGTATGCTGTAGATATTCATACTAAATTATTCAATTTTTTTTGCCTTTAGGGAAAAATAAATGGATAAACTCGAGAGATACTCACGGTTGAGATAAGCGAGTGCAATACTGTAGCACATGTTAAATATGATTGTGAATCCAATAAGCGCCCCAATACCTATCCAGTACCACGATGCTTCTGGGAAGTAGCCTCGAGATCTTACAACTGCAGCTCCAAGTGACTCAGTTCCATTTGGTGCAATCTGTTTAAATTAGAGTGAGCTCGAGCATTCGCTCAAGAAGAATTAGTAATTATTTGCAGGTTGCATTAGATAAAGAAACTTACATGTTTCCACTGTTTCCCATCAAATTCATTCACAAAAATTGCATTCAGAGAATACATCATTGGTGAAGACCAGTAACCCCATATCCACCATTTCGTCACATCATCTGAAACATTAGAAGTAGACAATTAACACTCGTCGGTTTAAGCAAGACGAGCTTCTGCGAAACATATAAATGACCAAATATACCTCGTGAAAGGACGAATCCGCCCAATGTAAATAGTATAACCAGAGCAAATGTTCCAAATGTATTAGCAACTCCCATGGTCCTTCCTACTGCCCCAATGAAGCGGAACAATCCTGATGCCATCTGGTTTACTATTATGAGTAGCAAGAAATGTTTGAACAATCTGTAAAAACAGAATCCTGATAATTAATCACGGGAAAAGGGAAATTGCTGAAGGTAACCAGACCATCATTCTGCATCATCTCTTTATTGCCATACCTTCCTGGGTTCGGATCAAATCCAATGACATAGTAGGTGAGGAACACCCAAAGACTAACTTCAATAAATGTTATAGGGATTTTAAGTATCCAAGAGGGAATTGCATAAGCCCATGAAGGGAAAAAGAGAAGGTCCCTTTGCTTGTAGAAGACAGGAAGTTTTAGAATTGTCAAGGCGATCTCAGACATTCCATTAAATAAAATTATGACGACAATGAAAAAGAGGGCGCCGGTGTATATTCCTCCATCATCTATAGTATCACGGGGCATCTCAGTTCGGAAAAATAGAGTCATCGTCGTGAGTGCAATTAATAAAAGCTGAAAACATATCAGACGAAAGGGCATTAGTACTTAGCAAATATGATGTGACAGGGAAAAAAGGACAGCCCGGTGCACTAAGCTCCCACTATGTGCGGGGGTCCAGGGAAGGGCCGGACCATAAGGGTCTATTGTATGCAGCCTTACCCTTCATTTCTGCAAGAGGTTGTTTCCACGCCTCGAACCCGTGACCCCTTGGTCACATGGCAGTAACTTTACCAATTACGCCAAGGCTCTCCTGATGTGACAGACTCGAATTTTTTTTAAAAGACTCATTAATCACCTGTGTGAACCTGAAGACGTAAACAAATGAGTTCCTCTTCATTAACAAGAGTTCTCTTTCAGTGCAGACCTTTAAGAGTTGTTTCTTCCCTATACCGTACTTTTGAGTTGTCAAAGCAGCGGGATGGCTTTTGCTCTTGTCATATGAGGCTGAAAGCTCATCTTCTAATTTCCTTCCAACATGGAATGCGCCATATGCCTCAGAAAATTCTTTTGAAGTGATAAACCTGTCAGGCTCATCCGTCCTCACCCAATATTGTTGTTGATCCTTCTTTGATGTCACCTTCAAGAAATTCAAAGCCATTACAAAATAGAAGTACATCAATGCTTGTCAACTTTAACAGTTGGAACTTATTATAAGACATATTTACTTCTTGCAAGAAGTCGGCCACGCCTTTTCTATCAGGGCATTTGAAACCCATAGACTCAAAGAAGCCAAGGACGTCTTCTCGAGGACCCTGATAGACAATTTGCCCATCTGATAACAGAATTATATCATCAAACAAGTCGTAGGTCTCGGGTGCTGGCTGCAGGAGAGATACCAAAGTAGTTCCATTCAAGATTTGCACAGAATGTCTTAGAGAATTCACAATGGAATAAGTCGTGGAACTATCCAATCCAGTTGAGATTTCATCCATGAAAAGTGCCTTTGACGGTCCAACAAACATTTCACCTGTCGTCACACGCTTCTTTTGTCCTCCTGAGATACCCCTTATCATTTCATCTCCTACCATACTATCTGCACAAATATCCAACCCCAATAGCTGGTGACAAAATACACAAAACACTTAGTTATCAAATTTCCTCTGGCTTTTCATTCTCGAAAATTTGTAGAATTTTTTTGACATATGTAATGTTACCTTAAGAACATAATCTGTAACAAAATTGGCTTCTTGTCCCTCTGTCGCTGCTGCCTACATTATCACCATACAATGAAGATCATAAAACAATTCCCTTGAGCAAAGCAAATTTTCTTACTTGGTTCAATTTACTTGTTGTTATTGGGAAATAGCTTATATATTAACATGTAAACATGAAGGGGAGCCTTGGCGTAACTAGTAAAGTTGATGCCATATGACCAGAAGATCACGGGTTCGAGTCGTGGAAACAACCTCTTGCAGAAATGCAGCCCTTCCCCGGACCCCGCGCATAGCGAGAGCTTAGTGCACTGGGATGCCCTTATTAACATGTAAACATGGTTCAATACTACACTTACCTTCATGAAGATATCAATATCAGGATCTGGGTTGATATTAGCTGCTTTCTCTCTTCTTGCCAGTTCAGCCAACATCTCTACAAAAAAATTTCAAGAACCAATAAATCTATGTTAGTTATTTTCAACATAAAATGATTTTTTTATTGAAGAAAAAATCTGAACAAATGCTAACCATAACGAGAGCCAACTCCCTGGCATCTGGCAGAGAATTCTAAAGTTTCTCTCACAGTCATTTCTCCAATGTGCAAATCAAACTGACTAATATAAGCAGCAGTTCTTTGTGGCACAAATTCATCCATTTCATGTCCATTGTAGGTTACCTTCCCAGTAACCTGATTTCCACACAAAATAAAAATAAAAATAAAAATAAAAAGAACAGAAAACTTTAGCTGCTTCTAACTTTTAGAACCATTTCATTATTTAATTTACATATGTTTGTTTTGGAGTTTCAGTTCTATATATTGACGGTTAAAGAATTACTTAAACAATTATGTTATTTATAAGGTAGTTACACATAAATCTCTTTAATAAGCATTAGTTAAGAACTTGATAAAACTGGTAACTAACCTAATACTATCACAAATTGAACTACATAGGTAGTGTAACAAATTATTACAACAAAAACATACCCATTGTAATACCGTATTATGGGTCTGGGGAGGGTAAAGTATATGCAGATCTTATTTCTACCTTGTGGAGGTAGAGAGACTGTTTTCAAAAGACCCTCGGCTCAAGAAAAATATTTTTAGCAGGTTTTAACAGGAGAACAATAATGAAGAGATCATGTTGAAAATACTAAAGACAAGAATATTAATAAAAAAATAATAATAAAGCAGTAGCATAACCAAAGCAAGGGGAACAACTAGGGGTGTTCATAAAAACCCGGAAAACCGAACCAAACCGACCAAAAAACCCGGAAAACCGAACCAAACCGACCAAAAAACCTGATACTTTTTAGGTTTGGTTTGGTTTTGGTTTTGAATTTTAAAAACCGATCAAATTTGATTTGGTTTTGGTTTTAATAAAAAAATAACCGAAAAAACGGAACCAAACCGACTATAGAAATAGCTATTAAATTCACTCGAACCCCCTTTGTCGAAAAATTACACTGTATATGTAAGGCAAAATCTGTTTTTTAACTCTATATATTATGCTTTGAATCCCTTTGACATAGCCCAAAAGCATAGCTTAGTGGTCATGGGGGTTCAAAACCTTTGTAAGGTCATCGGTTCTATCCCCACTAGCTACAACTTTTGTAACTTTTTCCTTTTTTGAACCCCCTTGGCGGAGAGAGAGAGAGTTTCTAAAGTTTTATGGTACATATTAGTCTTTGTATTTTTAGTCTAGTTCTTTGCTATTATAATATTCTAATTCTTTGCCTTTACATTCTAGTTTGATTGGTAGTATTCTTTTGCTAAGTACAAGAATTTATTTCATGTTAAAAATAATTAATATTTAATTGAGTACTGAAATTATTCATCAATATTTGATTCAGTTGTCATCAATATATCTTGGTAAATGATAGATTTCTCAAAGAGCAATTGTTTTGATAGTGCTACGTTGAAAATGTAGTTGCCAGAATATTTGTTTGGTAGTGTATAGTATCTCATATTTAAGAATAAAACCGATAAAAAGTTGGAAAAATCGAAAAACCGACAAAATCTGAATCGATAAAAAACCGACTTAATTGGTTTGGTTTGGTTCCAGTATTTGAAGAATCGACTTACTTGGTTTGGTTTCTTTTTAGGAAAAAACCGATCCAAACCGAACCATGAACACCCTAGTAACAACAGATAATACCGGAAATCAAAGAATAAGTAACAAATCTTTACATTGTCACTATATATATAACTTAAATCTATTTGATATGTACAAATAATGATCTTACCTTAAGGGAAGGGTCAAGCTTTCCAGCCAAAGCTAATAAAAGTGTAGTTTTACCAGAACCTGGAGGTCCTAAAAGCAAAGTCAATCTACAAGGCTTAATGATACCACTCACATCATTTAGAATAGTGAGTTGCCTCTTTCGATTTGGTAGGATATGAAGAGAGTTCCACATTGCCTATGGACAAATATTGCAAAATAAATAAATAAAGTTTCAAATACCCTTTTAACTAAAATAGATTCAAAATTGAAAAAATCAAGATATTCTTTGGATTTTTACCTCAATAAAATTAGTGATGAAGTTGGTAAATGTAGGCAAAGCTCTGCTTCCTACATATGCATCTGCTACAATAGTTAGATGCTCATATCTTACTTCTATTGATGGCAAATCAATCCCAACTCTGTAAGAAGGGAAAAAAAAAAGTCAAACCCATAAATTGACAGAAAGAGCAGCCCAGTGCACTAAGCTCCATCTACGCACGAGATCCATGAAAGGGCTGGACCACAAGGGTCTAGTGCGCACAGCCTTACCCTGAATTTCTACGAGAGGTTGTTTTCACAACTTGAACCAGTGACCTCCTGGTCGTATGGCAGCAACTTTACCAATTACGCCAAGGCTCCTCTTCAAGTGCCTAACGTTGATACTATGTTTAAAATGACCTTTAACCTAACTTAACAATAAAAGCTAGCTCGGGAGGATTGTCCAAGATACATAAACAACAACATACAACCAAAAAAAAAAAAACATGTAAAGTTTGAGCATAGTTTGAGTATGATCTTATTATATGTAAACGACAGAAAAGTCTTTTACATATGATATATAGTTCGAGTCAAAATCAATAGGTTTAACTGAACACAACTCGTTCTGACACACGACAACAACAACAACCCACTGGAATCCCACAAGTGGAGTCTGCATAGTGTGTACGCAGACCTTACCCCTACCTATGAAGGTAGAGAGGTTGTTCCCGACACACGAAGATACAAAAAGAACCTTTTACTTACCTGTCAGTTCTTTCCTTGAGTTTCAACAAAAACTTCTCATTATCTTCAGCTGCAACTTCCACAAGCCTTTCAAGTAAATTCTTTCTTTCTTGAAATCCAAGATTATTTATATCAACTTCAGCAGATGCACCTTGTGATCCAAATAAAAGACCTTTTTTCAAACGATCAAATGTTGGGAGTTTTTCAAGAGCTGCCCATTTAAGAGCTTCTTCATCATCTTCATCTCTTGTTGAATGATTAAAAGCAGTACTATTATTTCTCCATTTAGAATTGTTTTTCAACCTTAAACTTCCCCTCATACTACTTGGTCGAAAATTACTTGAATTTGTTGGCTCCATTTTGAACCAATCACTATATCAAAATGCAAGAAACTTTCTTTTAAGGTCTAAAGTCTAAGGGATTATATAGAAGTAAGTACAAAAAAGATGCGGGCTATATATAGAAGTGAAAAGGTCCAAATTTAATTTGCCACTAATATTTGCAATTTGTCTTATATATGCCTCGAGTTCTCACTTTTTATTTTTTGTATCAAATATGCCTCTTCCACTAACAGATTTTCACCATGAAAATATTGGTCAGATTTAATGGTGGAAGCCAAATAGAATTATATTTTGACCTTTTTAAATGTGGAAGCCACATTTTTTAGAAGAATTAACCTAAATAGTCGTTCATGTATTTTTTTTTAATTTCCTCGTGATTTATGTCATCTTAAATTATGCTACTATGTACTTTTCCACGTTTTTTTTTCTCTTTAGTCGTATTTTAGAGAAATGCAACTTAAAATGTTTTGCACAAAATGATACTTGCAAGGAAAGGGAATGGAAAATCAATAATGGCAAATTTATTTTTGTGTTTCGAAAATATGGAAAATCAATAATGGCAAATTTATTTTTGTGTTTCGAAAATAAACTTCCTTAGCAAAGCTTAAACAAAGAGGTTGGGCTGTTTGCGTTATCGATTTGACTTCACTTTACTTATAGGAGTCGGACGGGCAATTAAAGTGTGATGCCCATGACGGAGTACAAGTCAAGCAGTAAAGCAGAACTGGCAGTCTTCTAGGTTGGCAAGCTTCTGAAGAAGAGGTGCACATGTCATATTAGCCGAATCAAGTGAAGAGCTTTACAAGTCATGACACAAGTTCACAAGGTGCGCGTATTTTTTGAGCTCGATGTGGCATAGCCCAATACGTATCATGAGCTTGAGACTTAGCATAAAGCTCATTTAGTAAACAGCGAGAGAGCTGCAAACACCCACCTCCCATCAAAATGAAAAGCAGCAAGTCGAAGTAGCGAGAATCGAATCCACACCTATTTTGCTCTACCTTGAAAGACTAGCACGAATAGCACTAGACAATTTGAGAACCAAACTGCTAATTTCTTTTCCTTCTTTTTGTAATCTATACGACCTAAGTTTGTCTAACATTCATTTTCTCTATTTTTTTTTCTACTTTAGGTAGTCTTATTTGAGTTGCTTCGCCAAATTTCATTGACCTTATTTATCTATCAACCAAAATCCATACATAAAAATAAAAAGCACGCAAAGTATAAGATTTTGCAGATTTGGTATTTGAGAAAACTTTCTATAACTTGACAATTTCCAAAAATGTGGAGCTTCTTTTGTTAGCAGAAGAAATGGGCGTCAAGTCCTATACGAACAAATTTGGATTGTGTACGTATCTAGAGGTGCCAAATTTAACCAATGAAAACATAATTCGTCTAATCTTCTAGATTTGAATGGATTGGGCTCGACATATATTTAAGAGAAATACACTTTTAGCCGCTTCCAAGAATAATAACCGATAAAATATATTTTTTATATATGTGTATATACAAAAGGTATACATATTTTGTTTGATAGTCACTACAAAAGAAAAAACGTTTATTAGCTTGATTTTGCAATTAAACTAATTATTAAAGAAAAATAAACAAATGGAAAATAAATTTTATTGGAAGGGTTGAGTTATGATTAATTGTTTAGCCCAAATTGACTTGTCCATCTTGACTCAAATGAAACATAAACGAGTTAGGCAAAATACATAAGTTACCCCTCGAACTATGACCCAAATCCCTGTTACACACTTTCTAGGAACAAATATTACTTTACACACCCAACCTTTCCAAAGTGTATCTAATACACACTACTTTGCCCACGTGGATAGTGCGTGTTTTTCCAACGAAAGATTCGCGTGAACAAAAGAATTTTGTGTTAGATGTCAATTTTTTTTAGTTTTTTAAAATTTTAAATTGAGTCATCTTTTTCCTTTTTTAAAATTTTGCCATAGCTACTCCTTGAGCTCCACCACCCGATCTCCTTCTTCTCAAATAGACATACAATGATTTCTCATATCTCTTCTCGTTGCAGAGAAGCTTAACTTGAGCTTTACCCATGGCGAAGTCGAATTTTCAGGAAGCGAGAATTTTCCGAATTTTTTTCCAACCATTAAAGCTTAGCTCAAGCTTTTGCATATTCTTTAATTTTATAATGGATGATTTTTTAAATAGTTGACTTGTGGCGATGGCAATTAATGGCGGTCGAACTTTTACAGAAGTGAAATGGAAAATGAGTTGGATCTGGACTCAAAAATTTTGATTCAATTTTAGCGGAAAAGATGGAGTTTTGGGTGTGTTTTCTGATGATTTTTGTTAGTTAATGGTGGCTTTATTATTAAGTAAAAGATGGAGGAAAAGACTATGGTGTTTGATGGTGACAGAGGAGGAAGACGGCCATGGTAGTTTAGATGAGCAAGATGAGAGGTATAATTATAATTTTAATTATTTTATTTTTTAAATGACACGTGTCATTGTTTGATTGGTGCGTGATATTAAACATATTCTGAAAAACTGGTTAAGAAAAAAGTGGTGTGCCTTAGATACACTTTGGAAAGGTTGGGTGTGTAAAGTAATATTCGTTCTCAAAAAGTGTGTAACAGGGATTTGGTTCATAGTTCCGGTGGCAACTTATGTATTTTGCCAACGAGTTATGATCCAACTTATTTGTCGATTTGACCAATTTTAACTAATCCAAATGTAACCTGCTCGTTTGATACTCCTATACATATTCCGGGTCGGTTTAAGAACTTATAAAATGTTTTGGAGATAATTTTCATTCGCTGCTTAAATGTTTTGGATTGAATACCCATATTTCTTCAAATAGATTTCTTTTGATTTTTACTTATTTTCTTATGGGAAGTCCGAAATGATTTTTTCTTTTTGCTGGTTGACTTTTGGATCAAAGGATTTCTTTTCCTATTCAAAAGGGGAAAATATTGTTTCCCCTCACCAAAGATTAAGGGCATAAGTGAAACTTACTCCATTGACAAATTATTCTATACCAAAGGCAGAGATGTTATTTTCAATAGACCCTCGACTATCGTATAAGAAAAAATAATCCTCGCATAGCTAATGTAGTGATTGGCTCGCTATATAAGAAAAAACAATCACCGAATAACTAATGCAACATTCGGCTACGATTTATTAGAAATACTCGCATTAAGTAATGGAAAATCTATATATAATATGCGGAATAGAATGTGAATGAAAATATAAAGGTATTTACAGACAAAAATTACCCTTAAATAAATAATTCCTACATATTATTCCCTGCATTATTATTCACAGTGATCCCTATAATATTATTGAACACATAAAAATTTATGTGTTATAATCGTAGCATAACTAATATTTGGGAGCCAAACCATCCCTAAGAGTTGGCACCCCTATAGAAGCACCATCTAAAGTATGAGAACACATTCTCTTTTTTTTATGATCAAGTAAAGGCCTTTCATTATTTATAAAATAAAAAAATAAAAAAATAAGAAGATGCAAAGTTACAAAAGGAAAAAAAAAGTACTATACTAGTTTGTTAGTCCTTTTACATTGTGACAGGCAAAAATCAGGGAGCTAAGTCAATAAATAGTCAATGCTAATTACAGGGATTAAGTTTGTCCAACAAAAAAGGTTAAGCAAACAAATTGGCAGAAGAAAGAGGAAGAGATTTTTCATCATTCCTTCAAAAGAAATGCCATTTGTGGTGTCAACTGCCAATGTATTACACAGATATTTGCAATAATCATTCTTTTCTAAGCAATAATAGTAATCTAAATCAGTGCCATTCCAATCCTGCTAGAGTGGTAGAACCCATTCCTTCCCATACTTCATTACTCCTTCCATGTTCAGCCACATCCATTTGCATCTGAAAGGAGAAAAGACATTATTTTCTTTTTAGGATGAGAACTTGCACTTGAAATGCAGTAATATGTTCTAGCAGAAGAAAAACTTTCATGAAAGATTATTACGACGACTTGGAATGATTGAAAACGGTACTAGGCTAGGTTTCTCAATGTTATCGAGCATTCTCACTTTTCTTCTAGGCTTTTCAGCAGAACCTTCTCCAAGAACTGCCAAAACATTTCAAGCAGATTGGCTTCCGCTGCTACCTAGAAAACAATAAAAACTTCCAGCACAAACCACAAGAATTCGTCGATGACGTCCAAAGAATGGGAGATGATCATCTGCATTGTATACCACATCTATTGCTCCATGAAGTCCAAGAACATGTAACATGTTGGGATATTTGCTAGTAATATTTTCCATAGAGAAACTCCAGTGCAAGTGTAATTGGAGTAACCAGAAACAAGTTCCACTAAGCATAGGAACACGATTAGATGGTATTTATTTCTGAAGGAAGTCAATACAACAAGCACTAGTAACCAAATACTTAAATGTTTTGTGTCAATTCCTGCCAGCAATCTGGCCCAAAGGAGTCAAACAGCGAGTAACAACAGCAAAAAGGGTCATCAAACGTGGATTTCCATATGTTACTGGAAAGTACTGCATTTATGCTGATGCTAAGGAGGTTAAGATTCTGAACAATGATTGTATTCCAGGTATAATATTTCAGGAAAAGGCGATAAGAAAGGAACATGCCTTTTTTCTGTAGTACATTAAACCCAAGCTTGCAATTTCAAGTAAAGGACCTTGAGAGTTATAAACCCCTTATAGAGCTCAGCACTTCTCCAGGTACAATAGGGTATTGGAAATGTTATTAAATAACCCTGTAGAATATGTTCTACTCTATTTTGGGCTCAAATTGGGTCATGCCACGTAGAGTGAGAAAAGCCTATGAAGGTCGGAGCTTATGAGTTGATGGAACCACAGGTGTTTTGATGGAATCTCAACTCTGAACCACTCTTTAAAAGCTAGACGGAGACTTAATTTATTTAGCTGCAGCAACCTAACCTCTATAAACAGCATTGATCCTCTTTGGACTTTCTTAGCTCCATGAATCTAGTATAGTTTCTTTTGGTGTATCGGAGCTAGCAATCTCTCTTTTGTACCTTTTCAATCTTCTTGATGCCTATCAACGAAGCAGCTTACTTCATTTTTTTTTTTAAAAAACTAAGACTTAACCTTGCCAGACACTAACCTAGCTGTTGTCCTGCCCTGCCTAGAGGAAAATCATGCCTTTTATAACTTCGTTCAAGACAACAAGCATCTATGTCCTCGAGCTTGAACTTTGAAAATCAATATACTACAAGCTAATCACTGTTCAAGTATATACAGAAACAATAAAAAGGAGGAATGCTTACAAGAACTCCAAGCCAGTGTTGTCAAAGGCGAAAAGTTCTAAAAAACGCTCTTGGTCTATTGGCACTTTAAGTGCAAAGGCCAAAGCGCACTTAAAGTGTGGGCTTTAGCAGAAAAGAGCACAATGAAATAAAAAAATAAAAATTTATATGTAATTCAAGAACAAAGTAAGAAATTCATTCATAATGTTTCCCTTAGCCGCTAATAAACTTATTTCTGATTATATTTGTTGTTTAGTGCCGCTTGATTCATGAGAGAATTCATGGGCAATGAGGCGCACCCCCTAGTGCCTTGCCTAACCGTGAAGTGCAACTTAAGCGAGTGAAGCGCCCTCCTTGAGCTTTTCTGAGCTTTAGGGCTTAAGCACCTTAAATGAGCATTTGAAAACATTGCTCCAAGCGACATAAGAAAAATATGATGTATAGATTCCTATATATTCATGACAAAAAAGAAATGCAAAAAGAGAAGACCAACTAACAAAATATACTTGGGGGAAATGGGTAAGGCAAGAACTCTTACAAGTTAACGATTACGCGATTGTCAGTCTTCATGGTTAACAAGTCCCTGATCAGCTGTCAACAAGGGATTAACAAGGCTTTCGACATAGATTGCTGCCTGAAAACAGCTCTTAGGTTTAGTAACCTCTGGTTGTCTGATAACTCTGATTGAATCATCCTTTGGATTGTATATCATGAAAACTGACCGATACAAAAGTAAAATTTCACCATTATATAATTGGCAAAACAGCGGGGAAAATGACAAGGAACAGCGTGGATAACAGTCATACTTCCCAGGATCATTAGGACAGCTAACGGTGAACATCTTTGTCCAAGATGCTTTAACCCCATAATCCTTCATAACCCAGACATCAGAATGACTTCCCTCATAGTTACAAAGCACAGCAAGATCACTTCCCAAAACTCCCAGCATCAAATCAAATTCACCTTTTCCGTAATTGGGTTGCTCCACCTTACCCCATGTCTCACGTGCTAAATCAAAAGAAATGATGTTGCAGCTATTGCCGTCATCGTACTCATAAAAATGAATGATAGTGCAGCCATAGTAGCTATTGTGCTCACGAGCACGTGCAGATTTAGTCCAATAAAGCTTCCCCTTGACAAACTTAGCTGAACAATCTACCAAAGAGCTTCCTTGAAAATCCTCGACCGATCTCCAAGAATCACTCTTCAAACTGTAAACCTTGATCTTGGTCTCAAATGAAGCATAATCATCTCGATGATCATCAAAGATATTGAAAATTACCACTAGTTTATAATCGTCATGTAACTCATCATATCCAAAACCATACCTAAAATATGTAGAGCAAAACCACTTCGATTTAACTCCTGAGTCAGGCAATTTCCTCGACTTCCTAATTGATGGGTTCCATATATATAAACTAACTCCAGAACTAGGCAATTTATTCGTCATCCTCACTGGTTTATCCGAGTTTTCCTTATTGGCCAGGCAAATCAATCCATGGGCAGTATCACACCACCTAGTAAGGGAATTTTTCATGGGATAATCCATTTCAGATGCCTCAGTAATTGGGTGTAAAGTAAGGAACGTAGAGAACAGTCCTTGACATTGCATATGAAGTTCAACATAACCCTATGGTGGCGGTATTCTTTGTCGTTAGAACATGAACGGAGATGGGTTTTTATGAATTCAGAGCTCGAAATTAGAGAAAGCCATGACTTTGAAACAGACCTGAATTGCAACAGTGATTTCACGGGCAGCTTTGAGAGTATTTCCACGCCGATTTCTTGGGGAAGGGAAGGGATTATTGAGCTTGAATCTTCATTTGAAGTGGATGGAAATTGGGCATTTCTTGTGCGTTTTCTCCTCCTCGAAGCTCTAGTTTCCATTGTAGCTGCAGATTTTAGTTCACATTAGGGTTTTAGTCCTCCAGTTTAGCCAGTTATACCACATTTTTATTAATTTATCGTGTACAATTAAAAGTAGACTTTTTTGTATTATTCCAATCATTTCAGTTTTGGCTTGGAGCAATAAAGTTGACTCTGTGTGATTGTGTGATGTATAAGTTACGGATTCTAATCGCTAGAAGCACCCCTAATACTTATAATGCTGTCTATCACATTTTTAAGGGTGCGGTCCTTTCCAATCGCGGGATACCACGTGGATCAAGTTGACCTTTGATTTCGGTTTAATTCATAAAAGATTTAGATTACTTTGTTTTTAAAATGTCAATTGTCAAACAAGTATATTAATATTTCTAGGATTTTCATTTGCTATCTAAATATAGCAAATTTTTATATAACATGAATTTTTTGCAATTCTCACGTTAGGAAATTTAATAGATTAAACGAGCAACTATTAACTTTCAAAATTACATATTTCCAAAAAGATTTTTATGATTCTTTTAAGGAATTTTTACCTCCTATAGCAAAGGTTAACACCTTAATTATTTTAAATAAATACCATTTAAAAAAATTATATTTTATAGATACCTTTTGATGTTTATAGCAAAATATCTAATTTTGGTTACCTCCTACTCCTAAGCCACTAAATACGCTATTCAGTTACAATATTTTCTTTCTCTCTCTACTTTGATACAACTTTCACCTCAAATTTCTCATAAAGAGCTCTCCAATTCCTTCACCCACCATCGCCATTAACTGAAGGATCAATTTATCAACAATTATTAACCAAACTAAACAATCTAATCCAGTTATTTGCAGAGAAAGGATTAAACCCTAAACCCTTCCGTTGCAATTACAATTGCAGAAGAAATCCATACGTCTCCCTGTTCGCATAGCTATGGCGAAGAACAGAAACAAGAATAAGAAAAAGGGAAACTTACACAAATGTCCCAAATAAATCTCAACTTACCAACCTCTAGCCATTTGTCATAGACTTACCAAAACTAGCCAACAAAAATTGAAAAACCAAATAATAGGGTTCTTTCTCTCAAAGAATCACATGCAAAAATTACCTTCCATATTTTTAAGAGTCATTAGCAACATTAGATACAAGACGGAAAGGAAATTTCATGGATGGGGTAGCAAATAAGGTGATGAAATACAAAAATCTATACAATATTCTAAAAATTTAAACAAAAAAGGAACTTTTTCAATGGGTATAGTTCAAATTCATTGAAAATATATAGATAAGTCAATATACAAAATTTGAGGAAGATTGGAGGTGATTTGGACTGGTTTTGCATCAAAATTCGTAATTAAATCGAGTTCAAAAAAGTCTTCTGCAACACATGTATCAAACATGTATCACGCATGTATCTCACACACAGGTATACATGGATATACATGTGATACATAATTGATACAACTATGATACATATGTGATACATAAATGATACACAGTGTGATACACATATCATTTTTTTATGTTGAGCTTTTACTTCGAATTTTCAATTCAAACTACCTCAAGACTTCACCAAATCATCCCAAAACTGAGATTCAAGCTCCTTAAGTTGTGTCCAATCTATTCTAATAACACCCACTCAAAACAAAGCAAAAATTTGATACTTTTTTGCTACAAATAGCTAATTGGCTAATTTGGCTAATATTAGTAATATTTTATCTATTGGCCAATTTTTGTAATGAGCTACTTATAAATGGACATAGCTGGTAATTTCCCCTAAGAAAAATGGTCCTGCGGCTATGGATGTCTCCTCTGACAAGACGATCACGGGTCCCCAAGCAGTGTTAGTAATTTCTGCAACCGAAATTGAATCCAAAGGAGATGAAGCCTCCGATCGACGGCGGCGTGTGAACAGTGAGATTCAGGGTTTTTGCTCGACGGCGGATTCGTCGGAAATTAGGATTTGTTCTTGAACAAAGATGACGGAGTTTGGGGCTGAGCAACTTGATTTTCTGTTAATATATTTTAATATTTTTTCAACGTATCACGCTGTATTTTCATATATTACATTGTATTCATTGTCTTTTTTTTCTTTGTAATTCAATGTATCTCGTTGTATTCCATGTATTTCATTGTATTCACTGTCTTTTTTTCTCATTGTATTTCAATGTATCCCGCTGTATTCTATGTATTTCATTGTATTCACTGTCTCGCTATATGCCATGAATGTATTCATATGTTTTTTTAATTAATATAATTTATGTATTCAGATGTATTATATAATTTTTCTGAAGATTGCTATATTTTTGGGGTATTTTTCAGTTGAGAATCTTTTTTATAATTGAAAATACAAAATTTGTATGTTATAATTGAGTTTGTTGAGTTATATTAGGAGTCTATTATGTTAATTGATTCACTTTCCGTATTAAAAACAGTGTAATCCTCTATTTCACGCCGTGAATACAGTCGAATACAATAATCTGTCCAGCTGTAATCCCATATTTCACTCCATGAATACAGTCGAATACACTCGAATACAACAACTGATTAGCTGGACTTCCCTGTTTCACGCCTATTTTTGCTACTGTATTCATGAATCCAATAGCTTAAATACATCAAATACGTCTTATAACCACAAAAAAGATATCTATAATCCGTAATATAGCAAATGGTATCTATAGATGTCTAATTACTACTAAAAGATAGTGCTTTATGAAAATTTCTCTTTAAGTAATGCTTATCCTAACTAACTCTACTTTTAATGTACATCCTTTTTAAAAGCATTGCTTTTTGTTGGTAGTTTGATTGAAATATATATTAAGAGAAGTTAAAAGTAATTAGATGAATGAACAAAAGAAGAATTGGAAGAAAAAAAAATCATGTAACTAAGCTTGACGACATTAGCTATTTTTATTCACCATTGTCTCACTTAAAGCAACTAGAAAATATATATATGAAAAACTAGAATTCTCAAAGCTATATTTTTCTATCTATTTTTCTATTATATAGAAGAGCCGTGCTTGGTCGATCAAGGGTAGAATAGTCATTTAGCTCGATGAAACTTTGCTTCACGTGTTGCTGACTACACTCTGCACATGCCTTTTATTCCAAATACAACATTGGTCTAGAAATATCCATTCCTTCATCTTCCAGTTTCAGAGTGCTCCTTGCTTGCTTCTAAGTTACCGGCAATGGTATCGTCTAAAATTTGCGATAAGGTAAAGGTCGTCAATTCTTCTAATACAATCTATTTTATTAACATTTGTGGCTGTACTAATCCCCTCCTATCAGCCGTTTCAGCTTAAAACCTAGGTGCGTATCTCTTTTTGATTTGTTGGCCGTTTAGTATTCCTTTCAATTTGCTTCTATACGTTTGGAAATTTTATTTTGCGATTGTTTTGTGGTTCAAGTATTATTTTGTTTTTATTTCTACGTTGGGAGCTCTTAGATTTTTCTTTTTTTGAAAATTTTGCTTTTTGCAGGGTCGGATTTTATTGAATTGGGTTTCCCTTAGACTCCTGACAGCTCTTTTATTTTAGGTTCTTGAATTGTTTTGGTAGTCCTTTCCTTTTATGTTACTCTTTTTTATTTATTTTGATTTCCGAAGTACATCGACTGCAATTATTTTAGTGCAAAATTAGTAAACAGATTATTGTTTAATTGATAAAAGGTACTTTGATAACTAGAAATTAGGCGTGTTTGTTTCCATACCTTCCAATAATATGGATTTTTTTTCATCATGATGTAATCAGAATTTCGCCCTTAAGATTCACATTTTTATCCGGCCTTATTGATAAATGATGAAAAATGCATATTTTTTAGTATATTTGCATATTAATTCTTGTGTGTGTCGCGGGAGATTACATGATTTTCAAAGTGAAATATACTCATTATGTGTTTCTTATGTGTAGGAACGAGTTTGGATGATAAATGATCAAAAGATGACAATTCGACACAAAAAGAAGAAATTAAAGGAGTGGGAGCTCGTCTATTCTCGTGCGTGGCACGAAGTCGGACGCGAAAAAGGAGAAAAGTTAAGGCACAAAACAGCGAAGCGAAGCAAAGGCACGGAGCGCTTCGCGAAATGGAAGAATTTCAAAAGCTGGATCCGCGTCAAAGTCCACGTCTAGACGCGAAGGCAACGCGGATCCGCGTCAAAGTCCGCGTCTAGACGCGGCAGACGCGGATTCCAGCTCTCCCATCCGAAGTTGGATTGAAGAATTCCGTCCCTCATCAACCCTAGGTCATATAAATACATCCTAAAACACCACTTTGAAGGGAGACACTGCTTTAGGGTTAGACAACACCCTTGGAAGCAAGAACACGCTAGGAGCAAGGAGGAAAATTCAACTACGAGTTTTTCCCCTTCTTCTTCCTATTTTTTCATTGTTGGTTATGATTTTTAGTATTGTAGTTTTACAGATTATATTTACAGCGACTGCTTATCCTTTTTAGGACTAGAGTTGGGCGTGATCACTTATCATGTCTCCATAAATTAATTTTTGGTTTAGGAACAATAGGATAGAAAGCTTGTCCAATATGTTGATTTTTTGGAATTTCGGAGGATGAACTAGTGACAATTTATTTCTTAACTTTTTGTATATCTTTTTGCAATACCTCCTTATTACTCCATTAGTAAAGTTTCTTATCTTATCCAAAAAAAAAAAAAAAGAGAGAGAGAGAGAAAGAAAGTAGTATTTCCTTGAGTACTTATTGTGGCTATTAGCTTTCTTGTCTCCTGCTTCATTCTCAATGTGTTGTATCAGGTGAACCTTTTAGTCGTGGCTCTAACACTCTGTTTGGATCATTGTTCCCCATTGTTTTATAATGTATTATGTTGTATTGTATCGTACTGTATTGTATCATTTTATGAATACAATGTTTGGATAGATTGTATTGTTTGTTATTGTTAAATAATATTTTGTTGTTTGGTTTGACTGTTTACTAAAATATCCTATATTGTTTAAATATTAAATTTATCAAAATTATGCATAAAAATAATTTTAAAAAATAAAAGAGAAGAAGATAAAACACCTTAAGAAAGCAGAACAAAGGAGCGAGACAGAAGAAGGCAAAACAAAGGAGCATAGCTAATTAGAATTGAGTTAAAAGCAAATTAGGAGAAAAAATAAAACTGAAGGCAGCACAACACCTTTAACGTTGGCGCCAGAAGTTCTGGAGAAAAACAAAGTAGGTTATAGGTTGGAGATTTGGAGTTAAAATAGAAAAAAGGTAAAGGCTAAAATAGAATTATTGAGTAATAAGTTAGGGCATATTCGGAAAGAAAAATAGGAAACAATCCCAACACACCAAATCCGTTGTTTCAAAAAAGGGTACTTTTCATTGTTCCGGAATAATGGATTTAACAATACAATACAACCAATTTTAATGAAACAATCAAAACAAATATTGTTTTGGGATAACAATACAATACGATACAACGGGAAACAACCATCCAAACAAGCTCTAAAGAACCAAAATATAAGATTGGAGTTCGTCCTTAGATTAGACTGCCAAGTAACATTCATTGTTTGGTGCTCCTTAGATTAGACTGCCAATTTATGCTTACACTATTTGTATTCAATATACCTATCCATTGTTTAACACCATTCAAATGAGACAACAATTAATGCTTAAATTGTTTTATAACTTATGCATTGTTTACCGTAAAACTTATAATTTTTCTTTACTTTTCTCCTTCTTTTGATAGTTCTTTGACTTTCACGGTTAATACTTTTAAGGGGATTGGTTATTGTTGTATTATTTTGACTTGGCTTAGGATTTTTTGGTTAATTTTAATGTGCTTTGTTGGAGTTTTGATACATGAAAAACAGTGATTCATGCGACGTAGGTTGGCACTTCATTTTCCGTATTTGAACTTGAGAATAAGAGGCACAAATTAAGAAAAGCCAGGAAAGTGCCTTAATCAACACATGCTCAATTTGGATTAGAACTCTAATCCAATTTTTTAAAATAGAAAGTTTCTGAGTAGATACTATAGATCCTCAGGCTAAGCAGATTAAGCATATTTGGATGCATGCTCTTTTTATCTGGTAAGTAAAAGGACTGGGCTAATCATTTTGCTAGATCCGGGAAAGCTACATTTAACTAGAAAAGGCCTAAGCTTTTAGTCACCTCTATTTTATTCAACATTTGTCATATACGCATGCCAGCTTTGTCATGATAAAAAGTAGGACTAATTTTATTAAGTTGCGTCTCTTTGTTTTTCCAAAACGAAATATTTTTCTCTTTTTTCCTGTTGTTTCATGCTGTAATATATATATTCATAAATGTGTTGATTTCTGTTTTTTAATTTTTCCTTCTAGCACAGGCACAGCCTCAGTATTCTTGAAAATAATTTCGAGGATTAGTTGGATGTAAGGATGGTGTTAACAACTTGGCATGCTAGAATGTGAAGGCTGAAGACATAGTTTTGTTTTCTAGGAGGTCTTAACAAAGTAAACTGATCCATGGAAGAGCATTCTTAAAGTGGATTGAAGAGCATTTTGAAGGTGAGTATTAAGAGAATGTATAATGAACTCGATACAAAAGAAGAATGCTTAAGTGAGAATCCAAGCTTCGTGGGCTATACCTTGATCACTAGAATAACAAATAATTTGTTAGAAGAAAGAACTAACTTGAGAACCCAAATATTTAGAATTTGAAGGATTTACAGCATAAAGGTGGTTGTACGTATTTGTAGCTAGAAATATTGCGGCCACAGAGATGGCAAGGAGGGCCAAAAGGAAAACAAACAAGCTTAATCATTCCTGAGCTTCTTGGTGAAAATGGGCAATAAACTAGCTTATTTGTAGCTAGAACAGTGATGCGGAGGAGTCAGAGTGGTCAATTTGTGTGTGTGCAGGCACTTTATTTTGCAGAAGTAATGTGGGGCTTGAATGCTTGATCCAAGAGCTCTACGTTACAGCATTATATAAGTATTTGATAATTTACTATACTTGATACTTTCTGTAAAAGTGGACCAAAGTAATTCCTTTAATTTATGAAATACTCAGCATGCAAATAAGCCGAGTTTGTTCCTTTTGATCTATTACATGAGTGTTTTGTCCTTTTCAGTTTTGTGATATTAATAGGTTACATAATTTATTTTAGACAAGTATAGGTAAAGATTGCAATGAGCAAGAACTTAAGATGTAGTCCAGTAAATTCTGCCGTTGATTTTGTCAGATGCTTATAACACTTCCAACAAATGTTTGTAGTTACTGACATGTTGTTCAATCTCGGAGAAAGTGCCTCTCTTAGCAATGGCTATGTTGAAGTTTCGAAAGCTTTAAACATACTTTTGAGAGAAAATAACGAAACCTATAACAAAAATAGAAAATTAAGTGTTCACATGAGAATTATGTTTTAAAAAATCTTTCTCAAGCTGTTTTTTTCCATAACTAAAGTAAGAATGAAAATAGACCTTTAAAAAAAAAATTCCTTCCAATTTAGGTGGATTTTATAGTGTTTCCACACATTCCCTCCAGTGTGACTCGAACCTAGGACTTAACGGTCGTTGGTGGAAGTGCTTTACCAACTGAGTAAGCACCTTGTTCAAATTGTTGGGCCCGTGCTAGCACGGGCTATTTATATCTAGTAGTAGTATAAAGAAAAACGTAATACAACAACAACAATAACAGCAACACAGTAAAATCTCACTAGTGGGGTCTGGGGAGGGTAGTGTGTACGCAGAGCTTACCCCTACCCCGAAGGAGTAGAGATGCTGTTTCCGAAAGACCATCGGCTCAAGAAAACAAAAAGACAAAAGGAGAATATTAGTATCACCACAGAAATCGTAGGAAAAATAGGAGCAACATAAACTCCGGAAGAAAGATGCAATGCAAAAGCGATAGCTAGTAAATAGGTCATGCACTGGAAAGCGAAATAGTAAGACACAACATTGCCACTAACTATCTTAGACAAAACCTTACCAGACTAATCTCACAAAGGTACGAAGTAAGGCAAGACTCAATTACCTACTAACCTACAACCCTAATACTCGACTTTCACATCTTCCTATGAAGAATAACGTAATGTGAAGTAATAAATTTTCATTTGGAATAAATCACTACTATTTCGCTTTTGCATTTACCACTAAGTTATGAAAATGTACTTTCTATTTCTTCCCATGTAAACAAAGAAAAACTGCATAAAACAAGGACAAATTGAAGGAATCAGTTGATTTAAGTTGGTGGATCTATACTGTCATTAAAGTGTCTTTATGCTTCCCAATACTCAAACTACTCCTACTTATATTATGCTATGTAGGGGTGTGCATTCGATTTATCGATTTGAATTTGACCCTTATTGATAATTACTTATCGATTATCGATTTGTATATATGCTTATCGTTATCGTTTCAATAAGGTTTTGATATTTTCGATTTCGATTAATCGATTTTTGGGGCTTATTGATTCGGTTATCGATTACACCAATAAGAAAATTTGCGGGATTCCACGGAAAGTATATCGCTATAAACACGCCTAACTAATATGGACAAAAAGAAGCTAAAATAAGACGAACACCGTTTATAACATAAAAATTGTGTCAACAAGCACATGGAACGAGGTGAAATCTGCTGATGCTTGAAATTGTAACAAAGGCACGGAGGGAGAGAGGGAGAAACGTACTATTGAAGTCGCCGGAGTACGCCGGAGTTCACTTTCTCTGCTGGTTTTGCAGTTCGCGGGAGAGAGGGAGAAAGGTAAAAGCGGCGCTGAAGAATGGGTAGAGGAAATAATAGGGTTAGGGACTTAAGGTAAAGGAAAAGGTATTATAGAATAAGGGTATATTTGTCTTTTTAGTATATTTTATCGATTTATCGATAAACCGATAACCGAAGAGGACAAAATCGAAATCGAAATCGATAACTCGATAGAAAATTTCAAAATCGATAAACCGATAACAAATAATCGATTCGATTTATCGATAAACCGATTCGAATGCACACCCCTAATGCTATGTTTTATTAAGGAAAAACATACATTGCCCCCTAAACTTGTCGGAAAAAGACATTTACATCCCTTAACTTTACAAGCAACCTATCACCCCTATTCTTTTAGTAGAACTAATATCCACTTGTTTTTACATATCTACAAAGAAAAAAAAGGGCAAACCACTATATAAGACAATCCACGTTCACACAGGGTCCAGGAAAGGATCGCACCCTAATGTGATGTAGAAAGCTACCCTAATACTAAAGACATCTTTTTACGAAATAAAGTACATTCACAAAAGCATACACTGCTCTACTTCAAGCATGTAATTTGAAGTTCACATCCTTAACAACATTGGCAAAAGAATGTGATAAGAGATTATTTTTGTTTTGCATCATTACATCAAACAATATGCCATTTTTGGTGTCAACTGCCAATGTATTATACAGATAATCATTCTTCTCTAAGCAATTATAGTAATATAAATCAGTGCCATTCCAATCCCCCTAAAGTTGTAGAACCCATTCCTTCCCATACTTCATTACACCCCACTTCTTCATTATCAACACCTTCCATGTTGCAATCCCACCAGCCACCTCCATTTGCATCTGAAAACAGGAAAAAAGATATTTCCCTTTTTATGATGAGAACTTGCACTTGAAAATGCAATAATATGTTCTAGCGGAAGAAACAAAACATTATTCAGATTTAAGTGGACTTACAGTGATTGAAGAGGGTATTAGGTTTCTCAATGTTATCGATCACTCTCACTTTTCGTCTAGGCTTTTCTGCTGAACCTTCTCCAAGAACTGCCAAAACTTTTCGAGCAGATTGGTTTCCGCTGCTACCTAGTAAACCATTTAAACTGTCAGGGCTAAACCACAAGAACTCGTCGATGACTTCCAGAGAATGCGAGATAACCGTCTGCATTATATACCACATTCTATATACTCCATGAAATCCAAGAACATGCAAAAATATTACTACAGAAAAACTCAAAAGCAAATGAAATTGGATAAACAAGATAATTGTTCCAGTAAGCATAGGAACTAAAGTATATGGTATTTATTTCTCAAGAAAGCCAATACACCACGCGCTAGTAACCAGATGAAAGTTTTGTGTCAATTCCAGCCAGCAACCTGGCTTGAAGGAGTTAAAACTAGGTGGTCGATTTTGAATACCTCCATCCCCAATCCTTATCCACTCAGTGAGTAACAACACTAAAAGGGTCCTCAAATTTTTAGAATCTAGTGAATTTCCATCTGTTTTCGGGAAGTGCTGGACTAATGCTGTTTTAAGGGGCTTAAGAAATGGACAACGATCTTATTCAAGGTATCAATTATCATCTTTCAAGAAAATGCCAGAAGAAAAACAATAGGCATTTTTCTCCATGTAGCCGAGATTAAGCTCAAACTCTCAATTTCAAGCAACGGTGTCAACAGAACTCAAGAGGAATAATCCGTTAGGCCCTTCTAAGCTCAATACTTCTCCAAGTACAACAGTGTATTGGAAATCTTATTCAATACTAAGTATCGAATAAGTAACAGCATCTTTATACATAGAGAAGCAATATCAACTAACAGACGATTGCGTTGTGATTCCGAACCTGAAGCTTTATAGCATGGGAAGCAAGGTTAAGTGACACAAGAAGCCAGCTGATACTGATTAGTTCTTGCTTTACCGCGCATGTATGTTAGTTACAGAAATAAAGATTAGATACTCAGCAATGAAGCTAACCAAATAAAAATATATATCTCATGAAAGCCTAATTCATCCAGAAAATATGATTAGCACAACAAACTTGTGAACAGCTGAACTGATTCATTTCTGAAAGAATGACTAACCTTCAATAAGACCTCTTTTTCTTGATGTTCTGACATCATCTGTGCTACAAACTGAAACCTCACCACAATCATTAGGAGCAGAAACATCTTGGTTCACTTTCATGGTGTTCTTGTATTGTTCAAAAATAGCATCAAGAGCACACGGAATTCCTGTTTCTCCATCTTTCCTGCGGTTGATTTGTCCATTAATGGACTTACTTGTGACTTTACTACTTGCTGGCACCGAGATTTTCTTATTTCCCTGCAAAAGTTTAGTTCCCGTTTACACTTATATCTAATAAGATAAGTTATTCTACAAGTAGAAAAATTACACACCCTGATATAGAAAACCAATAATTATTTCTACAGGCTGCTATGGGAAATAGTTGCACGTTCCAAATACTAATGCAAAGAATAGAACTCTCCTTATTGTAGGTAAGAACACAGATAATGTAAATGACAGAGATAAAACCAAACAAAGGTTAAAGAGATCATTTTCAATATTTTCCATTAGTCGAAGCGAGTAGCATTCATCGTTGATTAAGAGGAGACAAGTCCGCAGTATTAGCAGGGTCAGGTGCAGGACGTGAATCAGCTGGGCCTGATGCTGGGGGCGGACGACGATGATAAGTCAGGAGTGGTGGAGCTGTAGAAGGTTGAACTCGACTAGGTGGTGGCACTGGAGCTAGAGTTGGTGGAACTGGACTAGGTGGTGGCACTGGAGCTAGAGTTGGTGGAACTGGACTAGGTGGTGGCACTGGACTCGGTGGTGATACTGGAGCTATAGGTGGTGGCGCTGGAACTGGAACTGTAGGCGGTGGAGCTATGGAGGAAGATGAATGGGAGATAGGGACTGAATCCCCAAAAGAAGGAACAGGTAGCACCTCAGAAATATCTAAGTGATTAACTGGACCTGTGAAGTATGGTTGGGTTTCAAAGAAGGTAACATCAACAGACATAAGAAATCGATGAAGGTCAGGAGAATAACATCGATATCCCTTTTGCGTTCTCGAGTAACCCAGAAATATGCACTTAAGAGCACGGGGAGCTAACTTATCTTTTCCTGGAGTAAGGTCATGAACAAAACACGTACTCCCAAAGACACGGGGTGGAAGAGAGAACAAAGGTAAGTGGGGAAACAGGACAGAGAATGGAACTTGATTTTGGATAGCTGTAGATGGCATACAATTAATAAGATAACAAGATGTAAGAACTGCATCCCCCCAAAAACGCAGCGGAACATGAGATTGTATGAGTAGGGTACGAGCAATTTCAATAAGATGTCTATTTTTTCTTTCAGCTGCCCCATTTTGTTGGGATGTGTACGGACAAGATGTTTGATGAATAATCCCATGGGAGTTCATAAATTGCTGAAACGGGGAAGACAAATACTCTAGGGCATTATCACTACGAAATGTACGGATAGAAACCCCAAATTGATTTTGAATTTCAGCATGGAAGGTCTGGAAAATAGAAAACAACTCTGATCGGTTTTTCATCAAAAATATCCAAGTGCACCTGGAATAATCATCAATGAAACTGACAAAGTAGCGGAATCCTAAGGTAGAGCTAACCCGACTAGGACCCCAAACATCTGAATGGACTAAAGTAAAAGGTGACTCTGCTCGATTGTCAAGACGTCGGGGGAAATGGGAGCGGGTATGCTTACCGAGCTGACACGACTCACACTCTAGAGTGGACAAGTGAGATAAGCCAGGTACCATTTTCTGAAGTTTTGACAAACTGGGATGTCCAAACCGTTTATGTAATAAATCTGGTGAATCAGTAACGAGAGAAGTTATTGGAGGAAGACAACATGCGAGTCCATGTGATTTTGCAAGGATAAGGTAATAAAGTCATCTGATTCACGTGCGGTACCAATGATCCGCCCTGTACTGCGTTCCTATATAAAAACAAGGTCATCAAGAAATAGAACAACAGATTTAAGTGATTTGGCTAAGCGACTAACGGCTATGAGATTAAAAGGACTACCAAGAACATAAAGAACTGAGTCTAAAAGTAAGGAAGGAAGTGGACTTGCTTGACCTATTGCAGTTGTCATGGCTTGAGACCCATTGGCCATTGTGACTGTTGGAAGAGATTCAGAATATGAGATACTAGTGAAAAGAGATTTGTTACCGGAAATATGATCAGATGCACCTGAGTCAATGACCCAAGACTCAGAAGGTGAAGATTGGGAGACACCGGTCATGCTACTATTTGTTGGAACAACGGAGGTTAGTCCTGAAGATGTGTGTTTACGTGCTTTGTACTGAAGGAACTCAATATAATCCGGTAAAGAAACCATCTGAGTTGGATTCATTGCATTTAATCCAACCGATTGTGCGTTAAAGGCTTCATGTACGAATTCCATTATAATATCGTGCCGAAAAAAGCAGAAAATTACTGGGATCACTGTTCACGCCGGAAAAATCACTGTAGCTCGCCGGAAAAAAACTCAAAGTGGTCGGAATTTGATTTGAACTAGATGGGTAAGCTCGGAATTGTGAGTAGAGAAATCTGTCCTGAAGAAGTTTCGCGAAAAAGTGGCCGGAAAAGGGGCCACGCGCCGGCGCGTGGGATCGGAGCTTCGCCGGAAAATTTCTTCCGGCGGCGCGTGGCTGCGCGTGGGGGGTCTTCTGACGGAGATATTTTAATGGATTGGTCGCCGGAGGCCGATCTACTTCGTGGTGGTGTTGGTTTTTGCACAATACTGACGAAAAGTGATGTTTGTTACGGACAGCCTCTTTAGTTGCCGGAAAATTGCACGGTAACGAGGTCTTTCTTCCCGGAGGCCGCTGGAATGATGCACAACGACAATTTCTCACTGATGCTCTGATACCATGTGAGAAAGCACGGGAGAAAATATTATTGATTAATTAAGACAATGATACACTGAGCCCTATATATATACATAATACATGTCCTACTCCTAATACATATGGGATTAGGGTTATCTACTACTATTTACACAATGAAACTAACAATCACCTGTTCCAATTATTTTCTCAAGTGTTCAGGTGTTCCAAAAGAGAAATTTAGCACAGACCAACCACCAAATTTAGTCCGTCATCTGAAATCACTGAGTGCACCTCGATGCACCAAGTTCAGAATCAACAACGGTTCTTAGAACAAAGGGAGTGTATAACTGGGGCTGCTACATACATTTTTAACAGATTACTTCAACTTTCGATACACGTAGATATATAGTCTGAGCTTGGAGTTGTAGATGCAGGTGCATCTACTGCTTATATGTTTTGTAGGCCTATGTGTTCTACACTTCAGCTACAATGTGAAATCTTTAAGTAATGGCAAAAACAAGTTTCTGTCTTCAATTGTTTTGAAATTTTCTTGAGTTCCCAAAATTGGCTACTAGTAAAAAAATACCACAAGTAGTTAATAAAAATGCATCTCAAACGCCAAAATTACTTTTTTTTTTCCTAGCATTTCATGAACACAGAAACTAAAGTAATTTAGGTTTCTTACTGGAACTACGCCGGGCAAAACAGGACTTTTGTGCAATTTTTTGCTGAGGAAGTCGGATAAAGAAATGCTTGAACCCTTTTGATTGATAGCTTTGTTTTCCACTTTCTTCTCGCAACCATTAGACCTTAAATAAATCACAAAAAGATAAAACCCCAGATTCAGAAGTACACTCAGAAAGCTAAAAAGAAAGAGATTTAACGAGAAAATAAAATTTTTTCGTAGAACTTAAAATTAATCAGCAAAATGAAAACCCGAAAAGAGCGAAAATAGTGAGAGCATAATTAAAGAGAAAATTCATTTCTTACTCATTTGAAGAACGAAAGAGGAAAGTTGAATCAATTGAACGCTGCCCTAATGGTCGTATTGAAGGTTGATTTTTCATCTTCTTCGCCGATTTGTTTTTTTGGGAGTTTTGGCGCAAAATATTTGAAAATTTCGCCAAAAACGACAATGAACTGTAGGACACCTAATTTATAATTTATGCAAAATAGAAGGAACCAAAAAAGAAAAAAAGAGAATTTAAGTGTTGAAAAATGAAAAAGATTAATTGGGGTGAGAGAGGCTCGAACTCTCGACCTCAGGATTACTCAGAAGCTATGAGACCTACGCGCTAGCCAACTGCGCCACCACCCCACTGTTGTTAAATCATTCAATTATATTATTAATCAGTCTATTTTATACATAATTATGGGGAACTTTTGAACAAAATGCGGAAAAATATTCCTCATTCCGTTTTAATATATGTGAACTTATATGATGGGAAACAAAGTTTAAGATTGAAATAAAGATTGTTGAAACTTGTGATTTTAAATAAGTTATAGCATTTCTGTGGCCATAATTCTTTTAGAAAGTGCTTATTCTATTTTAAATAGACTAAAAAGGAAATAGGTTTACACAAATGGAAACGGATGAAACAATAAGTAGGGATATTTTTGTTCAAATTTTATTTCCGCATTAACAAGTGGTTATTTCTCAATTGCATTTTAAATAATGGATAGTATTAATAAGTCGTCCAAACAATAACTATCCCACCCAATTTTTACTGAAGGCAGAGGGCTAAGATACTCGATCCAATAAAATTGTGGGGGTAAGTGCATCGATAACTACTTTGAGGACCCTTATTTAATGAATAGTCAAAGTTTAAAATTGTTTTAAAGTTTAATCGCTTTCAAATAAATTTCAGAATTACGAGTATAAGCATGTGGAATCTCAAGTTGGGTATACCAAAACTTAACTTTAGACATGTATGTCTCAATTTGGCATACTACTTGTGCAGTTTGAACTTTAGACATTCAGATCCGAAGTTAAGCTTAGTAGTGCCCAACTTCAAACATCGGTGGCTGCTTCTTCTTCTTCTTTTTTTTTTTTTACTACAAACTTCATTAAAAAATTGACAAGTAATATTCACCACACACATATGCTCATATGCAATTACTACACTTCCTTTTTTCATTTATCTTCTTGAGCTTCCAAATTGTAGATAAAGTCACAAAGTCATAGATGAATATAGAAGTACAAAATTACTCTTCACGTACAAGCAGGGGCGGATCTACAATCTAAAAAATGGTTCACGTGAACCCGTGGTTTTCGGGTTAAAGTATAAATATAATGTACATAATTTGACAAAAATAAATATAGATATTTGATGGAACCCGTGATCAAAAGAGATGAAGTGGTTCACTGGTTTTGATCTCCTATTTCCAATAGCCTTAAGGTCAGGGGATCGAATGCTGGTAAAATTTCACTAGCACAAGCAATTGGGACTTTGCTTTTGTTTCTTAGCTATACCCTTGATTATATATAAAAATATTTAAATGGTAAAGGATGGTCCGTCCCTATATCAGCTGTAATTTTCTAAGTAGCATTTTTGGAAATCAAATTTGAGAGATTTCTTATGCAAGAAAAAAACTAGTCATAGTTCTTCTTTCTCATCGTTACCTACTTTATATTTATAAAAATATTAGGAATACCATATTAGACAAGAGAATCTTCCTATGTTATGTTGAACACCCTCTTTCTTGCACTATATGGAATTTTTTTAGTAGGAAACAATTTCGGCAAGGCAAAGAGATGGAGGAAGTTTCTCTCAAGGACGAAACGACACAAAATTGGCCATCTATCTTAAAATTAGTTAAAATTGGTACACATAATAAAGGTAATTTATTGGGAATATTCTTACACAAATATTCCAAATAAGTCCTAACTTACCAAGCTCTAGTCATTAATTATATACTTATCAAAACTAGCCAAGTACATAAAATTTGAAACCCAAATAAATAAGGATGCTTTCTCTCCAAGAATCACACGCAAATATCTCCTTCCATATTATTAAGCGTGATCAACAACATTATATACAAGACGGAAAGAAAATTTCATGGATGAGGTGCAAACAAGATAATGAAATAAAAAAAAAGAAAAAAAAAATATATATATATTTGTAAGATTCTAAAATTTTAAGCAAAAAGGGACCTTTTCAATTGATGTGGTTGAATTCATTGAAGACATATAGATGAGTTAATATACAAAATTTGAGAAAGATTATAGGTGATTTGGACTGATTTAGTATCAAAATTCGTAGTTAAAATCGAGTTCAAAAGATTCTTCTGCGATATATATATA